TGGCTTCTAATTCTGGTATTCGAATTACACTAAACAAATAACTAGGAGGGGCTCCCGAGTGGATAGTTTTAACGCTGCATTGATGCTTGGTAAATGCAAATCGCTTTCTTTTACGGATGTAATTATGGATCATTTACAATTTTTTATAAGAATAATAAGCAGCAAAAAGTGAAAGGTTTATTATTTCTATCTGTGTAAAGGCGTTTTGTTTTTAAAATTAAGGGATTAATTAACGGTAAAGTGAAGATATGATATCTATTATAAGAAGGAAATGTGTGGCCACTTTACAAAAAGCGTACGACAGCTATAAAAAAGCTGGAACTTCAGAGCAAGTGTGCAAACACGCTAAAATTTTAATGTGGAAAAAACCCTGCAATCACCCTCGAAATAAATGCTTAAACAATTAGACTGATGAAAATGTGTAAACCATTTGTGCGTATGTTTTTGGAGTTTGTCACGTTCAGGTAATTGGAGTGACTGTCACAACATGTCACGTTTTGTTGAGAAGTGCGCTTTTCCTGGGGCGGTGACGCAGGACAATTTCCTGGCCCCACTAGGCCTGCAGGAAAGCACGGATGTATCAACAAAACTGTTTTCATACTTCAGGTACATGTAGATGGAAATGGGGAACAAAAATATATGGAATTTCACTGTAACTTCTTTGGCACAAAAGGAATGCTTTTTAAGACATGGATTCCTCTATACATAATATACAGTTTATTTCACTTTCCTTAGTCACAAAGATACATATTACGTCTTTGTTTTTCATATACAACCGTTACATTTGCCAAAAGTAAAATAATCACATCAATTGCTAAATTTTGTAATTATAAAAACCCTTATTTTTTAAAGTTTTAGACCTTTCTTCCTCTAACATTTTGCACCTTTTCATAAGTAACAAATTACAGGCCTATCATTAACGACAAAGGTATAAACATTCATGGTTAATTTATTTCTAATGGTTACATTTTTAAACAAGTTGGAGCAAATAATGGAACCTCGCAATCTGAACATTTTCTATTAACAACATGGGCCCAATGTATCCATCCCTTGAGTACTTAGTTCTGAAGTACGCCAGTGGGTAGCTTATTACAATAATTTATTCAAAAATACACAATAAATAGTACGGTTTCAATGGACCTTGGGAATCATAGTTGTCAAAGATATTTTTCCAAATAAAACCAAGAACCCCTAAAATTAGGAGCATTTCACGACTGAGCTAAAAGAGGCTATAAGGAGGGGGAGAGTGCAAAATTATAGCAACTTCAGCATAAATGTCGCACAGTTTCACATCCAGAAATTTCATCTTAAGGGCTCTTTGGAGCTGTATCAACTGGGGCATTTTGTCATTCGTGCTGTTTTGCCGGTAGAGGGTGCTATTTTCCTATATCGACTTCTGCATCATTGGATTTCACAAGATGATGTGACCTACCCTTCCAAACCCAGGCTGATGAATCAGGAGCCACCAACTGGAACTATGCACAGAGACAATGAAAAACTCCAGAACCCTAACTGCCCGTAACCATAAAAGCTTTCTACTCACCAAATTTCAAGTTTGCATGACTGTGAAAACATGAATGAGGAAGGAGTAAAAGTGGGAATTAATGTTTAATTTGAAAAACGTTTAGAGAACTTTTCCATACCATTCGAACGTATAAATGCCCCACCCTTGCAATGATGTCATTGAAAACTTTAAACAGATCAAATTGTATACAAGGTAACTAGCTGACACAAAGTTCCGGTTCTTTGCTATGACCGAGCAGGAGAAATGTTTTGCAAATCAAACTACATTTAACAGGCATAATTTACATTAAAAACGAATGCCAGATTGCATAAATCAAAACGTCAGACCTCAAAAAGGGTTGTTCCTTTTAAACGTTTGGGAAAATCTGCAAACGGATTTGGAACTTTTTCCATTTCAACATTTAAGCGTCCCTTCCTTAGAAAGGAGATGTCAAATTTATCTACTTGAGCCTGGTTTGGGAGATGTTTGGTCACAACTGATGAAGCAAGCACAGGTTTTTTTCAACCACGTCAACTGTGACAGACAATAACTGTGTACTTTTCAAATTTCTAAAAGTTACTGTACGTGTGACAACTGCATCTGTACTTCAACTTGACTGTGGAAGTGGAAGACCCCCCCCCAAAATAAGTAAATAAATGGGAAAACTACTCAAGTTTGTAACTAAAATCTAAGGGTTAAGAAGAGAAAATTGTAAATCTCCCTCTCGCCAGTCTGAATGAGTGCTCTATGAATCTAGGTTGATGAATCAACCTAAGACACATACCACAGATGAGTAGAAGATAACATAAGAAACTCAAAGCTGGAAGATGTTGGACAAACAGGAAACAAGAATAATTATCAGATTAGTACTGACTTTGTTTACATGAGAATTCCTCCGGAGCCAGCGGGGGACCATGGTCCACTGAGCACCATAGGAATAGACTGCATCCATGTGTCGGCCATTTTGAATTGAAAGCAAAGTAAAACTTTTTGTTTTGGGAACCTGAGGTTAAGCATAACAGCGATGAAATAAAAGTGCTTACAATTTAAGGCCAATTTTCATTTAGAATACTTTGAAATTTGCGATAAATTATATCTAAATGTTTTGAGCAGCATTGAAAAAAAATGAGATTTGGAACCCTAAAATAGTTTGCCACCACTCCCTTAACCAATTAGATTGAGTATAATAAATTCAAGGAACAAGCTGAATAAAGTAAATAAATAAAAAAAATCTGTAGAGGGTTTGCATGGCTGCCATCTTGAAGGCCAGTGCTTTTGTTATGCAGGGTATGCACAAAGGAGGTTTCCCTGTGGAACAAAAGAACTGCCCTACAAGATGGCTACCACGCAAAGCCTCTATTTAAGCACACACGTAGACAAAGTGTGGGTCATCAGTACATGAGCCTATTAACCATCTTCTACTCTTTACATGGAAGGGGGCACATCTCTGTTCAAAACAGTTTGGGTATTTTATGTCACTAAAAATGTCCTTGTTATATAACCACTGGAAAATATCAGACATCTAGTATGACAAACAAGCACTGAGTTTGTATATTCTCAATCTTGACTAGAAAATTATACGCTTACAGCAAAGCCAACAAAATGACCCTGTGTGATTTTCCATCAAATAATCACTATGAATGGAGTGACCGTTGGAAACGTCCACCTTCAACCCTCAAAATGACTCCGTAAAACTAAAGACTGGAGGAAAAGTAAAATGACTTCACAGTGGGACACTCAAAACAAGCACCTTCAGTAAGCCAAAATAAAATTGTCCTGCTTCCGATTACTTGACCCAACCTAGAAAAATCAAGCATAACTGATCTTATTATTCCAAAATAAAACAAAAGCCGATGGCCTAAACACCAGAATCTAAGTTTGCGTACATGTACACTATCCTGGGTTTTTTGAAAGTTTCTTCTGGCCAGTTTGACAATGTTTGTGGCTACAACCATTTTCGTTTTGAACTCAAGACAGAGAGGTTATGCGTTGCAGGTGTCTCCATGGAGTCTCAGAGGCTGCTTTTGTTACTTTGATTTAAATATTACGAATGCGCAAAGGTTTACTCGAGCCTGTACTAGTTATACAAAGCTCTTAACCTCTTGAGAACGCATTAACGCATAACCACTGTTGAAAGCATGGCTAGCGATCAAGCCGTGATAAGCAGCATTAATATGGGGTCGGCAAACAAGTCTGTTATGGTCACTTTTCAACAAATTAACAGTTCATCACACTGCTTACCCCTCCTCTATCCTCCAAAAACCTTCCAAATCCTTCAGACAGTTTTGGAGGATTGAAGGTGAATGGTAAAAGTGCATGGCTGATTGCAAAGGATGCCATGAGTGAAGGTTGTGGGTTAGACCTTGTGTTGTTCTTGCTCAGTCATGCATAAAGTCTGCCCGGTATTTCTTTTGAATTAACCGCACTGCTCAAGAATGCCATTCGCACTGCCTCAACATAATGACAGGAATTGCTGAAGGATTTTGAAGGATTGAGGCAGTAGGCACACCTCCAAAGTAACATTTTCAAGAAAGGTTGGAGGATTCTGGAGGATTGAGGAGGGTCCCTAGCAAAAAGGGCTTAGGGGGTTTGGGCTAATATCTTCGGCTAAAATGTATTAGATTAACCCTAACAGTCCCAAATCCTCCAATTTCAATACAATTTTACATACACACCTAGGGGGTTAGGGTTAAAAAAAACTCAGTGAAAATAAAAATGAAGAACAGTGATTTCAGCCACCTGCCCAATTTTGCAAAGTAACAGCAAACAAAACTTTTTTTTGGCTTGGCCCCATTCTCCCATCAGTAAAAATCCTTTGGCTTTTTCCCAATTTACTAAGATGTCGTCGGTTGATGCTTCTCCCGCTTGTATTTCATATCCGATCCCAGAAGTTGATATTGATAGGGTAGTAAACGTAGGCGTAATACTCTTGTTGGCTCATCATCAGGCCGGGGATGTCGTAACCAGACTAAGAAGACGGCAAGGAAATAACACGTTAAAAGGTCGATGTAATGTTGTAATTTTCTTCAAGCCCTTGAAAACATTCCTCTGTGTTTCAGACAAACTTCCCTTGTAATTTTTGTTTTTGCTGATTTAAAAGGTATTTTGGAATAGAAAAAAAAACCGACCAAAAACAATGATGCTGAAGCTGTTGTGTAATCCACCTTGAGCAGAAGCACCCCCTCATTGGTTGAAAAGACTCATATGGGCAGGAGTGTTCATTTTGTTGGTATCGATGCGACAGTAACGTATGCATTTCATGGTGGTTCGTGAACCAGTGAAGTTCAGTTCTGACCAAAGGAGCCTCTGTTGCTAAGAATAGCGCCCTCTCTTGGTACAGCTCAAGGCCTACTCAGGAGACTACTGAGCTTCATGCAGTGGTACGGTGATTTAAAGCCTGGTTTATTGAGTGGTTGGTAGTTGGACCAGGTGGCTCTCTGCTGGACGACGTGTAGACACACACAATTTTCCTCATTGTTCCATGGAGAATGTTTACGCTCATTTAAGATTTTTTTTTTAATTTCTGCAGTTGACGTATTAACACGTCCTGCTTGGTTGGGTCAAAGTGCAATTGCGAGGTTAGAGAATGTACGGGTAAAAAACCCCACCCCCAGCAGCGTTTTCGGGGTAAAATCTGACGTTAACTGGTTAAGGTAGGTGTAGTGGCTCTTTCCTCGCCTTAAATCCCACCTAGGTCAGCAGGTGGATTGGATTTTCAGTCCCTGCCTGATTCCATGCGTTTCCCTGGACTATTTATGCAGGGTTTTCGTCTTATCTCTAAAACTGAAAATTTCTTCATTGTCGTCTCATCCTGTAACAGAGGGTTTGCACGGCTGCCATCTTGCAGGCCTGTGCTTTTGTTCCACAGCGTATGCGCAAAGGAGGTTTCCCTGTGAAACAAAAGAACTGCCGCGCAAGATTTCTTCCACGCAAAGCCTCTATTGGCGCTGAATGCGCGGCTGGACAAACAGAAATAAATGCATCATAGACTCACATCTGTGGCAGTCCCGGCGTTGCTGTCAAGGTGGGCGTAGAGTACAGCTAGGTTCTCTCTCAACTTCTTGTGGGATTTCTTGAATGGCTGCAGGAGCATGGGCTGGAAGTTGACTGGCAGGCCATACCTAAAGTGAGTCATCATTAACAGTCATTAAATCACATGCCAGTTTTGAAGGCCATTTCTAAAGTCCATTTTTGAAGACCATTTCTGACGGCCATATCTAAGGGCTAATTTTTGAGAAAAATGAATGAGACAGTTTTTGAGGCTAGGCGATAAAATCGCTTGTGGATACCATTTAGGATTCATTTTAGGAGGTCAGAAATTTGTTTGAGTGATTATATTTTTGCAGGCCAGTTTGAGAACCACCTTGAAGGCCCAAGAGAGCTTACTACCTGACAAAGTTGATATTTGACATTTAAACCTAACAGCCTGGAGTGATATACTAGCAATCTTCCGTGTCCTTGTAAATCCCAACGCCACATATACTGCCGTAAACTGCACATAAACAGTTGGACTCTTTATTTGTGGTATGCCTAATCCCACAGTCAGTACACCAGCGCAGTACTTATCCTGATAGATTTCAACAAACCCTGGCGTTGGAGTTGGGCTGGTTTGGTCCATTGGGATCACCAGTTGATATAAGATGCTATGATGCGACATCATTTAACACTGGTTGATATTAGTTGACATAAGCTGACATGTAACGTTAGCTGCCAGAAGTTAATATTAGCTGACATGTCACATTAGCTGAGAGAAGTTACTATTAGCTGACATTGACATTAGCTGACAGAAGTTACTATTAGCTGACATTGACATTAGCTGACAGAAGTTATTATTAGCTGACCTTGACATTAGCTGACAGAAGTTACTATTAGCTGACATTGACATTAGCTGACAGAAGTTACTATAAGCTGACATGTAACATTAGCTGACAGAAGTTACTATTAGCTGACATTGACATTAGCTGATATAAAGTTGACATCAGGCGACATCTTGTAACATTAGCTGATTGACATTAGCTGACAATAGTTGATATTAGCTGGTATCTGTCGATGCAGCCCTACCTGAGGACTGACTCCACAAAGACTCGAAGCGCCTTGACATGGATCCACGCCATAAATGCCTCGCTGAAGTTGATCTTCAGCCATCTCACCAGGGGTCCCTGCAGTCCAAACACACTGAAATTTATCACTGGGGGCCACTAATTCAGTAGAAAGAACTGGTCGACAGTTTTGATCTTTGTTCTTGAGCAAATCCACACATTCAGTTCAGACCTTTTTAGATCATCACAAGACCGACACAAGGCCTCCAGTCTGAATTCAAGTCACAAGCTATTCCAATGAACTGCAACAAAAGCATTCCTTTGTCGCTGTTCACCCTGTTACTTATGACTGGTCATGTGACTGCTCATGTAATTATCTCAGCTACAACTTGCCACTAAGTGATATGAAACAAAGGTGAGGAAAACCAACGCACCCAACTCGAGCCATTTTTTAATCCCTTTCGGAGGCATTATTTTCAACTCACATATTGCCTCTTCTTGTCTGCTGCCAATTTGTTGAGTTCGTCTTTCCCAGCCGCCAGGGCCTGCTCGTTATACGTAAAATCTCTGACCGTAAATCTGTATACAAAACACGGACAGAATCTAGTTACTGTTTGGGCCTTTGCCAAGTAGGAAAAACAGTTTCTCAAGTAGGTTTTTGCAGGAACTTTTCTAATGAGCCTTGAGATGGACCAAGAGAGGGCGCAAACGTTCTTAGCAACAGATGCTCCTGTGATTGTAACTGAACTTAGCTGGTTAAATGACTACAAAATGCATGCGTTGCAGTTGCATCGCTACCAGCCAAATGAACACTCCTCAGCAACCTGGCTCAGTTCCAATGATGAGGGGGCGCTTCTGCTCGAGGCAGATATATTTTAGCCTTGCACTTTGAGTCAAATACTTAGTTTGAAACATATGAAAGATAAAAGTATTTTCAAAAGTAAAAAAAAAGCCAAAAAAGGAACCTCAAACAATGACCCAGCCTTGGAACGATGAAAGGAAAAGAAACTACTTTGTTTACTTGGCCTCTGCTCTGCCCTTTGGAAGAAACTATGCCGAATGTCCCAGAAATCTTCCACTTTGTAAGAAAAAACCACTGAAAAAAACTTGGAACTTAAACTTCCGAGGAACACCAAGCCCCATTAAAAGTAACAGTGGACAGAAGTTTTCCTTGATCCTGCAAAATCCTACAAAATCTTGCATCTGATTTGAAAAGATCAAGGAGGGTTGAAAAGGGTCCCTCTGTTGTTAGCGTGAGCCCCCTACCTGTTTTCCCGGGCGTGAAGCTTGTACTCGTCCACTACTTTCTGGAACAAAGTCACCGTGAACAAACCATGTTCTGTATCCTCATAAATCTTCCTGTTTAAGTGGAGGAAAGTAATCTAACAAATAAGCTTTATTCTTGGGGTAATCATTTCACAATTCTATCATTCTCACTTTTCTTTTTCCTTGAGTGTCGGTGAGTTGGTAGAAAAAACAGAGGGTAATAAAATTTTTTAATTCCCCAAACCTGGCAGAATTATCATTTCCTTTTCCTGGCAAGATGTTCAAGACAGGCTCAGCGACATTAAAACAAAGGGAATTCTTTTTCTTGGTCAGCAGCCAAAAATATGAGTCTAGTGGAAATGAGACCCAAAGAATTATTGATAAATGCCCTTACCCAATGTAACCCAAGCTTAATTTCCACTTGGTGTAAAATATGGCTATAAACAGATAAAAATTACTTGCATTCTCAAGTACTTGTCAATGTTCATGGGCATTAATTTGTCATAAACTTTTTGTCAATTGCTTTCATTTTTACTCCCGGGCTCCCAAATTCGAAAGCTAACGTCCTTTTCAAATGAACACAGCCGACCGGTGAATAATGCAGACTGCACTGTACAAAAACAGAAAGGAGTTCGTTTCTCACCTCAGGTTCACAAATTATTTCAATAAAATGGTCAAAAAGCAGAGACTGCCTGTTTCTTGGAAAAATCAACTCCAGCAAAAGTGTTTCAAGTATTCAATATCTGTTTTGATGACTGGTGGTTTATCAGGCAATTCCTTGTATGGGAAAACGTGCTGGGTTAATGTGTACCTTCCAGGCTACACAAAAAATTTGACTCTAACTTTGAAAGCACACTGTCAGAAGGAAAAACGTACGTGTGCTTTTCGCCTTTTTCAAGAGGATTTGAGAACACTGGGGCCATTTTTGTCTCTCCGACTTCATAACTAACTTTCACAAATGTTGAAAAATCAGCTGCACGGGCAACGGGATCCGAACCCAAGCCCTTCTGATAACAAGCACAGATGCCTCTAATATCCGATTGCTCAACTTGTCACGTCAAGTTTAAGTAACTATGGAACTGTCTGATTTACCTCGATGACTTTGGGACGACCATGTCAGCCAGTTTCTCGTATTTCACCTCCCACTCTTGAAACGATGCCCTACAAGGACGGGATAAAATGTGACAAACAAAACAGGAAAAGAAAATCAAAACTTGAAAAGCTCATATGATGGAATGCAGACAAACAAACAAGTTCACTAGCACGGTATCGAAACTTGGCTAAAACGGTCCGCCCTTCCCCTGGCAATGTGATAGGAACAGAAATTCACTTGACCCCGCCTAAGAAAAGGGACTTTTTGGACCTTGCTGGAGTTTTACTAGAAGCCGCTTCATATTTCAGGCGAATGTGAAAATGAAAAAAACTTGACTTTGCAGAACATTTACTCTGAAGTTTGCTGGTGTCGGAAAGTGTTCTGCTTTTGCAAATTCGCAACCCGACTATTTGATCGGACGTCACAGTTTCACGTTCATGCTCCCTTTTGTGCTAAGCAGAAACTCAGCCTTCAGAACAAGACACTTAAAGCTTTCATTTTGCCACTGATGGTGCATGAAGCCTTAACCCTCAACCTCCTCAATCCTTCACCTGTTGGAGGACTGAGGAGTGTTAGGGTTAAAAGGATCATAGAAAGATTTTACAAAAACCCTTGACATTGTACCTTTGGGTTTCAGGTAATCATATTTGAAACTTTTGTTTAGTTATTTTCACTCATATTTTGGAGCTTTTGGGGTTTTTACGCTAAAGACATTTGTACATTCATAAGCAAAACTATGTCATCTAAGGCAATGTATCTTTAAGTTGCTCCGATTTAAGCACAGAAAAGTTCTATGGTAGATTTCATTTCCTTTGGCAATTCAATGTTGTGTTAGTATATGGCAATGAGCCAGCAAGCAACCTGTCCACAGAAACGTTTTCAGAGAGCAAATTTGGAGATAGCAATTTGAACATGAAATCATGCAAAGTAAACCATGTCTTCCTGGATTTACATTAAAGCAAAAGCGCCCTCACTTGTCCAGAAATGCTTGGTCAATTGTGAATGTTTAAAAAATGCACTTTTCAGTTCAAGTAACACAAAAAGTCTTCATACAGTGAAGAAAGATTCATTCCATAGATCCTTAAACATTGAACACTGTTGGTTTGAGCAACATTTTGGCGAGTACATGTACTTAAATTAAAATGCCCACCGGCATGAGTCAACGACCCAACTTACTTTGGAACTACGACAAGAAGAGTGACCAGATACTCGGAATTGGAAATAAAATCCTCCTTCTTGACTAGGTCTCCAAGGTTACGGGTCAGTAAACTTCCCCTGTGTGAAGGACGAAGAAAGATATCACAGTTTCATGTCCAACGTGACCGTGCTTTACAGGCTTTTAAACATATCTTTCACAAAACGGGCAATTAACAAGAGTGCGCCACCAAGAGTTTGCAATACATTCTCCAATCAAATTGGTCAACCCTTTTCAAACTCGCATTGGGTCGACAAATTTTGCGCATTGTGATCGGCCAACTCGTTGCAAACTCTTGGTGGCGCACTACTGTGAAAAGGCCGTATTGTGCAATAACAGGATTGGTTAACAATTTTACTTACAGAGTATCTATTCTATTTCAACTACGATGCCAAACCAAATGAGATGTCAGTTCTGTACGCAGTCAAAACCTTCACAAGACCAGTCGCAAGTAGCAGGGTGCATATGACAAAAGGAATGCTTTTGTTGCAGTTCATTTGAAAAGCTTGTGACTTGAAGTCAGACATGGAGGTCTTACGTTGGTCTTGCGGTGGTCTTGCGGTGGTCTCATGGGGTCAACTACAACATTGTGATATCTCAGAACAACTAAATGTGTTTTTTTCTCTGCCAACTCAAATATTTATCACTGTCTCTTTAGGTGAAGAATTGGTTACATACGTTGCTTTTCTCTCCAAAGATTGTAAGGTGCCTTTCAGGTTGTTGTATGCGGAAGCTTTGGTTTTCAAATCACCATCCATTTGAGTGACTTGCTGTTAAAAAACAAACAAAACAAAAAGACCAGCAACCTGTGAGTTCAACAGAATCTGAGTTCTTATTGTAAACAAGGTTATTTGCTGCACTACACGAGCACAGAATGTCGCCATTGTGGAGTGTAATGTAGTGGTTACTAATTCATGAGAGGGCCAGGGGTTCAAATCTAGCTGCTGCCCACAGGTTGTGTCCTTGGGCAAGCTATTTTACCCCGACTTAACTCTCGTCACCCTGGAGTATCAATGGGTACCAGCATTAGCTGTGGATTGACCTATGAGGGACCAGTTTTCCATTGTATTGTAACAAATTCTGCATCTTGATATCTGAAATTTTCAAAAAAGCGACAATGAGATAAGACATGTTGCACAAATCTTGACCAAATGACCACCAAAGATCAGCGTTTGTTAAGTTGGGTTTGCAAAGGACTATGGCTGGGGATCTTGTTAAAAAAAATGGGTATTTCTGGTCCAATATAGCACAGTGCCTGTAGCGAGTTTGTAATGAAACAATACCCTCAGTCCCTCAGTAAGTGGTCGAGAGGTTACCTTGGAAATAATTTCAGTGATGTTCTTCAGGGGTTGCTTGATGGGATACTTGGCGAGGTCCCACTGGAACCGAGTAACGTACGATGTCAGGTCAACTACGGGTAAGCACATACGTTAACAGAGGTGGCAGGTGAAAGTCATTATGGGTGAATTATGCCATACAGTGAGAAAATGTGACATTTGATTACATCTCTCACAGATTGACAGTTTGATTGAATATTTGTCAAAGTAACACAAGCCATTTATTTACATGTAGCTTTTTCAGAAATTTTGACGCTTTAAGAAACTAAATGAAAGCTCTTTAGACCACAGATTGACAAAATAGAAATATCTCTGGAATGAGATTTGCTCATCACCTTCATTCCCTCCTCACTTCAATATTTGGCGGTAAATTGGGCTCTTGAAAGTGTTGGACTAGAACAATCATTAGTGTGACATCCATACGGGGGATTGACAATGTAGCGCACTAAGAGTTTGCCGCAGACGGGCCACTTTTCAATTTTACAGTTGACACGCTGCTGCGATTAAGCGCACTTTGTACGTAATTTGGGATATTGCATTGATTAAGGCGTTCCCTGCACCACACACCATCACTTTGACTACCTAATGCCCATTTGCAATAGATGGTTTCGAATTTTCAACCAGGATAAGTTAACGAATGAGACTTTGTCGACTTTTTATCCCATAATGCACTGCGAAAAGGCCTCGCCAGGACCACCTCTTGGTGGCACACTGCATTGTGAATCGCCCATAGTAACATTTCAAAATTGGTTGCCAGAAAAAAGTCTCTGGTTTCTGGTCAGCATGCGCGTCGCTGTAGACCTGTGCGTTGGCAAAATAAAAAAAAAAATTTATTTGGTATAAAACAATGTCCGAAAATGGCTAAACTTGCTCAATGGACTGGAATCCTGCTACTGTGTAACTTAACATGTTTTTGATGGAGTGATAGGTAGAGTAAAGGAGTCCCTCTTGTTCCTCATACATTTAGTAGGGCACTCTTTTTTCAGATGACGTCATCTCTGTATTATACAATTACATCTTGGAACCAGACAAACAATGTGGTCTTATGCCCAATGTGCATGCACAAGCTAAAAATGCTTCTAAAAAGTGAAAAGTGCGGGCACCAGTCTATTTTAGTGTTGGTAGCAGCCGGCGTTACGTGCACATGCAGTTGCGATGGACATTGCACTTTATTCCAGAAAAAAAGTGAGGGTAAAAAAAAGCTGCGTCGCCGCACCACGTTTGGATCCAGCTCCTGACAAGAAAGTGGAGACTTTTGGGAGGCCTTATACATGTATTAAGCTGATGCTAGGGTATACCTCCATTTGCTGTGAGGTTTTCCGCCAGTCTGTCTTTCGTGTCCTCCAAGACCTCGCCAAGGTAGTGTGCTAGCTTCCGGGCAACGCTGTAAAAGAGAACCATAGATCAGTTGAGGCCAAGTGAACAAATGTATCATTAATCGTGAGAATCCGTGAATTTTTCAAAATCTTTGTTAATTTCATCAAAGAGGAGATGTTGGCCATGGTTTCCAAATGCGACCACAAGTAGGCAAAGTGACATCACTGACCTTTCAACGTACGCATCCAGCTTTCCCAGCTCATCTGACAGCCCGACAAGGACGTCCAACGTTCCGACTTTGAGGTCGGGGATGTTGAACTTGTTATTCATAGACATTGCCGTGGGCTTGGAGGTCACATTGTTTAGTTTCTCCCAGGTCTGTTGGCAAGTTTTGTCCCCCGGAGCTGAAATCAGCCAAAACTCTGTCAGACTCATCTGTAATGAGAAAATAAAGTCAACAGGCAAATTAGCCTTACTACGGCCCAAAAAACAACGCTAGAAATAATGCACGACAAATTTGACAATGTGGCTGGTACCCTGCTACTGGTGCGCAATATCCTTCTTCATATTGGTGACAAGTGGGCTCTAAATAGACAGAATCATTAATGACAATTCAGAAAAAAACATTTGGGTAAGAATTCCAGATATATATTTGTCCAGATATGGACACCGTTTGACTCAATGTGCAAAACCCATATGACAGGGGGCAGAAAAATTCTAAGCAGATACTTCAATATTTTCCCTGCCAAATTTGACTGTTTAGATCATGTTATTGCTTTGATGTGGCTAAAAGGCACATGTCACTGCAGGGAAAAATGAGGGAAGTCCGTATATGGAATTCTTTCCAAACTTTGACGACAAATCAACATTGTTTCAAGCTGTCTTGCTGCACTGTGATCCAGCGACCAGCTGTTATCAGAAGTGAAAATCCAATAATGTAACCTTTATGAGTAGAAAGGAATAGATGTAATTGGGGGAATGTTGCATCCTGCCTCCTCTGTCATTCCCAAGGTCTCATACATTTACTCTATGCTAATTGTTTTAAACCTTTGATCTGTTTACAGTGTACGTTTGACCTTAGATACCTTGACCTAAGATACCCATGTACCTTGTGCTCTCAGTGGTACCACAAAGGATTATTGGGCGATCTTATTACACGTGTGAGACAGGCAAGAATGGAGTGTCATGATCTGAAACTGTCTTTTACCTAATCCTAAATGAAAGCCCGAGTGAATGCAAGCCAACATGGATCAAACAACTCTGAAAGCCAAATTGTATGATTTTCACCACCAAGAAACCATTTTATTAAGTACCTTCATCGCCCTCGTACTCGTAGACCTGGGATGAACTGTGTGATTAATATTGTTTGCGTTGGATTCAAGACTCAAGTGGCAGAACTCTGAGTTATTACTGAGCATTTAGGGCTCGAGTATGAAGACTAGATTGACCTCTGAACTGAAATAACAGACAATAACTGTCATCTCAACTGAAAAGACATGAATCTGGGACTGAGAAAAATTTCCAAACTTGCTTACAGTACTTAGAAAATGTTCTTCACTCCCTGTACACAATTGCTGAGTGGCAGTCAGAATGCAACATTCTTTACAACTTGAGCTTCAAGGCCTGTTTGTTTTACATTCATGTAGATTTGTATTGCAATCAGTGATTCAACGTTGGTTCACTGACTCCAGAAGCCGCCTATGGATAGCACGAACTAGCTTGGGATCACTGATCGAGATTCAGATCCGTGGGAAACAAACAGGCTCTAAATTTTCATGACATTGAATGTTAGGCATGTCATAATGTTAGCATGGTTAGCGTGGTTAGGCCAGACAATTCTTGTGATCGGTCATTCGAGAACTTCTGTACATTATTGAATAGCACAAAGGGTAAATTTGCCCCTTTGCCGTGTGTTAAAAGTCCATAGTGACAACACACCGACCGCGAGTTTAAACCTCGAATGTAAGTCTAGATCAAGAAACTCTTAGTCACAAAATAACAGCCTTCCTACATGTCCTAGGCCTAACACAGTAAACAGGCATGACAGAATTTCAAAAATGTGAGCAATGATCAATCACTCAATGAACATGCCAAATAAATATGCCGTGATCACGTGATAATAATAGGCCTGTATAAAGCTTGTTACCATTAATTACAATGTTAGTCTAGCATATCGGCATCTCATGACATGCACGGCAAAGACTGAGCTCCGTCATGTCCGTGCACGCGCACCGTGTCGGAACACACTTACCTGTTACCGACTCTTTTTCCAGCCACTTGCCGATGATCGATCAAGAAAAACACCTTCCGGCATGCGTTTATTATTTTTCACAAGAAATTGATAAAAATTGAGAAAACAGTTCAATTCATACCTTGATTTCGTCACTTTTCAGTTACGGACAAGGGCAAAAACGCAGCCTCCGTGCGCTGAGTAATAACAAATTATTTCTTCGACTGGTACCAAAACAGCACATTAACAGGAACTCGACGACTAAAGGCGGGTACCAAACGCTGACTCGACTCGAAACAGTCCGTTCACGTGACGGGAATGACTATTTCCTATTTTTGGAAGAATGCGCTTTTCAAGGCAAGCTCTAGATGAAAATAAATCTACACAGGATTGAGTTCACTGTGTCAGTTCAAACAAACAGGATCTTGCAGTTAATAAAAAGGTTCCCATCTTGAAGAAAGAATATGTCTTTCTCTATTTTACGGACTTCTTAAATGGATTCCCATGAACCAATAACACCCCTAGTCGAAAAATGAAGTATGCCACCCCAAAATAGAACAGTTTAGATTAGTGGGTCGACGGTCATGGGCATGAGCCCCCCCCTAGTCAGAGATGTGAGAGTATAAAACCAGGATCAACTCTGAAAAGATCTCATTATCATCACCGAGCAGACAAAAGTATAGTGTAAACCATATGTGACTTCAAATTCACCAAGGAATAACTGTGTAAATTCCGCTGTAATGGCTGGCCTAAACATTCACACCGTACCAGAGAGAACCACCCCCGCCCCTACAAAAAAGAAGGTCAAATTTGATCTGTAAACTTACAACCGGCACACCACAAATTAATGTTTTTGTTTTCCACTTAAAATTTAAATTTTAAGTTAAATGGGAAAACGTTTTGTGAGCACAACGATTCCCAGAGTTCTGTTTGCGGTTTCGCGCCGACTACCGGTTTACGGCGTTCCATCTTATCGGAGGGGAAACATCAAAACAATGGGCGTTAACCGCAACTGAGCACGCCCAGCATATGAGAGAAGAGGAGGGAATTTGTAGTAATCTCCTAATAATAGTGATTGGACGAGGATATAAAAAGAGACGTCACCACGCCCTGGCCTATTTACTCCAAACAGCCTCCAAATTCATGAGCTAAAGCGTAATAAAACTACTATGAATCTAAAACTACATAACAACATTCTACAACGGGATATTGACGTGTAATTATGATATTACTAATTAAAAATAAAATCAGTCTTTTCTGTTGATTTTCAAGTCAACGTTGATTTTGGACTATTTTGTTTCAGCGGATGATTGCTGCACATGTGCAAGCCAACTCAACCGCCATCTATTGGCGAATCGGAGAAACCGGCGAACCCTTGAAAAATTTTCCCCAAAACTATCAATATTGGCCTCAGTCTCCTGTGTATTGTCACCAAAATGCACAGAAGGATTTCGTAGTTAGTGTCCCTTGTCCCACTAATGTTTGAGGTGATTTTGACGCGGTCTGACTCGAAAATCGGCGTGATATTGTGTTATCCCGGAAGTTGGGCGTTACATTGGAAATTGCACAGCCCACATTCAGCGTGTATGGTGAGTACAGCGTGGACATGTGAGCCTTCCATGTCTACGAGCGTACGTCATATACATGTATGTGTACAAACTGGCATGTGCTAAGAGTAAAAAATTTCAAGCATAATGAGATGGTACGTTTTGATTTGACATTTATCTTCTCGTTTTGGTTTCAAGGGTTATTGACTGTATGACTGTGTTCATTATCATTAACCGCCTATCATGGAGGAAGGATACATGTACTGTACATGTACGTAGGCTAACCTAAAGTTAGGCCTAGATTCTCTCTGTTTTGTTGCAAAAAAATTAAGAAAATCTATGCTCACTGCTCAGGCATATCAAGTGGCAATGGAGGAAGTAAAACAAGGCCAGTGTAGGCCTATTTCATGTACTTTGAATGTGGTGCCTCCAAGTTTCATGTGTCATGTACATGGTCATGTTGGTTATTACATTTTTTGGGGGGGGGACTGACCTGATGCAACATGACCACCTGATGACGATGATGACAGTGTGCCGAGTCCAGTCACGAGTGAAAGCTTGGAGATGCAGTTGATGAAGCTTGCTGCATGTTTTGGATTGTCATGATTTGATTGTGTGGGGCTCGGGCAACTCGACCGGTCAACCATTTACTACATGCACTGACATGTGCACGTAACTTGACTGGGAACAACTCGACCCTTGATTGAAACAACTCAACCAGTCATGCCGGGGGAGAGCTTGACCATCTGTCACGTCTGTGCCTCAGACAGAAGCAGACAACTCGACTGTTGGATGGTTGGGGTAAATTGCCATGTAAGACAAGTTAATGAGTGTGCTTGCGCTTTACAGCTATTTCGCCATTTTTTTTTTTTTGTAATAGAAAAGAGAAAGGATTGGGGGACAGATAGATTCATTGTCTCCCACATGAGCAAACTAGCAACTGATCAGCAGTAAGGTACGGCCGAGGCACCTGTGCACCACCAACTGTGTTCAGTGGCACCGTGCGTGCTGTATCGCTTTTTCGGCCACGGACCCTTCAGAGGGCGGCCGACATGCCGTCCACCAGTCTTGTGCATGCTGCGTCACCGGATCCCTATGCACGGCATGCGCAGAGAGTTGAGTCGCCATGTACATATAACGTGATACACGTAAATTGGGCCAAACAGGTGATCTGCAATGTGCATTATATTCCCCAAACTCCATGTTATCCATGTGTAAGCCTTGACTGGTCAAGTTGTCTTAATGGATGAACTGGTAAAACTTTGGGTTTGTTCCGCTTGTCGGGTCGTCCTGCTGGTTGAGTTGTCCCTCTTGTCGAGTTGTCTCAGCAGTCGAGCTGTCCAGAGGTGAGTTGGCAAATGGTCAAGTTGTCCAACATCTGATTGTGTGCATGAAATGATAAATTGCTAAATTAGCCTTATAAAGTAGGTACATGTACAGATTTATCAACAAAAATGCATCTCTGACTCTGATAATGTAGAAAAGCATTTTCATGGTTGGGACCAATGAGTACCGGTACCGTACATGTTCGTGAAATCACATACATTATAATCATTACAGAAACTTGGATTTAAGTTGGTAACCTTGAGAACCATTACATATTTTTATTATAAAGCAATGTTAACCCTTGCTCTTGTTGACATTCCAATACACTCTAATATTCCACTCAGAAAAAGTGGCTATGGCCCTTCCCAAGGCCACACCACTTCAATGGAGAAACTGCATACACTTCAAGGAATTACAGTAAACTGGACGTCAAGTTGGTCCAGTACCCAGTGTACTACAGTGATAAGCAAAGCCAAATGCCACAATCCTCTGGAGTACACTGGAGTTTACTTCTACAGGTCGAGCAGTAAAATCACTCCACTGGTAATGCAAAGAATCCTCCAATGCACGCTGGCTGAAGTGCATTGGCAGGTACTACTGACTTGCAGTAAGTTGCTCTCATAGAGCAAGGGTTAAAGAAGGTACCGGTACTGATAATTTGGTTACAACAGAATTGAATATGAATATTCATACATTCCCTAATCGATTGGATACATACATACATGTACATGTACACTCATGTCTCGGTGTTTTCAAGACAAGCTGGTCATGTCATGCCATGTAACATTTCTGTTAGACTGGCAAACAGAACATTCAGCATGTTCAGTACAATAAACAGATCCTATAAAATGCACAGGCCTAACACTTTAAAGCTCTGTGCACTGCATTACTCTATCTTTATCCCTTCACGTTGGGCTAGCAACTGAACATTCCTGAAACAATCTCAGTTCCCTGGGGAGTATACAAGCCTGTTGCTACCATGTACCATATCAGGTGCAAATGGCAAAACATTACCATCTGTCCCACACAGGTTGCAATTTACTCCTGTGTGGAGAGAGGCACATACATGTACATGTATAAATACAATGTTGGGAGATAAAGTGACCTGGCCATGCTGCCACCAGTTGGAGTCGAACCCCCGATCCTGTGATCAGAAGCTACATGTACAAACCCTGATCTCCAGGTCATGTGCCCTTTAAATGTATGCTTACGTGTACTTGTAAATCCGTAGATTACTCCGGCACAGTACACCTGTACATGTATGTCGCAGGTAGGGTGGCAGAAATTGCCCACAGGCGATGCCAGTATTGAGTGCAATTGACACTCCTGTGCAAATTGATTGTGCTCTGTGCCGAGTTGATTTTCCCTTATGTCGGAATCCGCTCACAAGATAATCAACCGAGGAGTACAGTAAGTTTACTTTTTTAAGAGTGTTGATTGTGCTCAACATTACTTGTAGCTTGACCAAACAAGCCCCTCAGTGTCGACATGAAGGTCTATATGTAATTCACGTGCAGTAAACACATCCTCGGGTCATGTACATTTGACACCAATAACATGAACGCAAAGACCACCGCAAGTCATGTGTTACAAGGTAATCTCTTACGTATCCTCGGTTATCAGTAAGCGGTTTTCAATACTCCGTAAATATCGAGTACAGTCAAATTTCCGAACACTAATTGTTGGATTTTTTTACAAACAAAAAACTGACATCGAAGTGGATAAACCATATGCAGACAATTACAAGGAATAATGGGTAATGCACATGTACATGTATCTCGACCTTCAAAGTCCATGGAATTAGGACATAACGGTTTATCTGAATAGTTTTGAAGAATGACGAACTAGCATGGCCCTGTTAGTTACTGTTGCATGGAGCATTGTGCTTTTCCAACATTGAAGATTTCAAACTTGGAACTTTCCTTGCTGAAGCACTCAAATAAGTGTGGCCAGTTGTCGTGACCTCCGAACGCGCTTGCATATGGCTGGCTGGTGACCTTCTCTGTCACGTCCAAATAGGATATGCACATAGGTTGTTTGGTATTGTAACCAGTGCAGACGGAAAGAAACCGAGCCAGGATTGGCAAGGGAAGAACGCTGAAGAGGAAGTTTCATTGGCTATTAGAGAAGGACAGTTTTATGAACTCTGAGTAATCAGTAACTGGCCCAGTATGATGATAATAAAATTAGAATATCGTTACTATGGTTAGCAGTTCTGGGAGCTGGCTGAAAGAGCTCGGTGCAGGAGTTTACAGCAACAGTCCGTTAGTTTTTTTTTTAAATGTTGTGGACAGGAGGGTGCTTTTGAAGTGGGCACATTTGGAGTAAACCAAAAAGATTTTACCCAAACCAAATTGAGCCTATGTAACATGTACGTACATGCATGTCAAAAATTGGCTAGTGGTGTCTTTGTCAACTAGTAGCTCTGAGGTTCCCATGTGACCTTTCATGTGACCTCATTATTGGCAGTTGATGGGACAGCCAGACGATCTCTTAAGCTCTAGCGCTGAGTTCTTCAAGATTACATGTACCGGTAAGTCCGAAAAACTTACAATACACATGTACCGTAGGTGTGTACCATTTTCCGTCAGTGATGGATACTCAGTGATAATATTTACTGAAGAATTTCATATACTCAACATTTGCACACGGTACATATACAGAGAAGGTCCTTTCAAGGTTACTGGTAGCCTCTGGATGCTGTCAGGTCAGAGATTATGGGCCAGATGATATCAGTGAAGATCGGTTTATGTACAGTGGAAATCCTCCCAGAACTTGTGCTTTGAAGGAATAGCTGTGCTTTCCAAGAAATATTATGCTCTCCAGGGCCGTTTTCCAATACCCAACTTCGTCTCAGTCTCAGGCTTCATCCCCGAAACCAGTTCCCCATTGTGGGCCTGAAGCGTTTGAATCAAATTGGATTACTGTAAGTTTTGGCTCTCTTGCATCTTATTTGATGTTTTGTGGCGCTATTAGACTAATTACTGCGCTTACAGCTTCAAAGTCAGCTAGTAAAAAAAAACAGTTGAAGCCTGAGACAGAGCCGAAGTTGAGTATTGGAAAACGGCCCAGGATACTTAGGAGCATCAGATGGTACATGTGTACATACATATGTCCCACCCTGTGGTACTTGTACATGCAAACCAATTCGTTCATGGTTTGGGTGAGAAGCAATCCCAACCATCTCTGCATGGAGAGATTAACCCTAACCTTCCCAACCACACAGAATTGGACACCAGTAAAGTGTGAGTGTGTGAATTTGTGGCACTGGGTACTGTACCCCTAAACTGCTTGTGCTTCAACATGGGTTCAGGCATACCCAAAATGAACAGAGTCCATCAGTTTTTGTGCACAGTTTACCATATGGTGTTGGAATTTGTTTGAATGGGTATGGTTCCGAGAAAATCACTCTGAGTTAGGATTAAAATGTGGTAGATTTCACAGGATATCGTGTGGCACGACAAGGGGACGTGGCAGTGAACGGTAGACACTGTACATGTATATGCCTGGGGATTGTACATCCGTGTTGTGAGGCTCGTTAAAAAAAAAGAGAGAGAAAGATGGAAACACCCCTGTCAATGTGCACTGTATATTCATTAAAATTGCAGCTCGTTACTGGCAGTTTATATGCAAACCGACTGGAATGCTCATTAGGAATTCCCTGTCCTAGTCATCAATATTGATCTTTGTCACACGTGCACGTGCATATACAGTGCGCTTCATGATGCCAGTCAGGAGTTTGGCTCAAGAATACCTTGGTGTTTAGTGTAATTTACAAGCTTTCCCGTTGATAGTGTTGCAGATTGGGATGAACATGTTTACGCTGTACATGTACATATGTTGTAAGTTTAGTTTTGAAGCGTTTGGGTATGTAACAGTGTTTGAGTGTGCACATTAGCCCCAATCCTCCAAAATCCTGTTCTGCAAAGTGGAGGAATTTGGAGGGTTCAGGGTGTATGGCAAAAGTGCATGGCTGATTTCAAAGGATGCCATACAATGTACGTGAAGGTCGTGGATCTTATGTTATTTTGTGCTTATAGTCAAGCACAAATTCAGCCCGATATTTCTTTTGAATCAACTGCACAGTTCAAGAGTGCCATTCGCACTGCCTCAACATAATGGCCGGAATTGCCGGAGGATTTTGAAGGATTTGGGCAATTAGGCACACTTCCAAATGACATTTTCAAGAACTTTCGGAGGATTTCGGAGGATTTGGGCTGAATGCAATTTTTTCAAGTTAAATATCGGAGGATTTAAGAGGATTCAGGATGGTACCTAGTAAAAAGACCTAGGGGGTTAGGGTACATGTATGTGTGTACCACAGAGCTATATTAAATTATAGATGTACATGTACAAACTCCCCATAGAGAAAATATTGACGCCGTCCTGAGCGCAGACATTTTGGAGCGATGTGCGTGCTTGTAGAACATTTAAAATCAGATACATGTAGAATGAATATTGAATTGTGGATTCTAAATGCAACGTGCGTCAGGTACCAATAAAATCTGTCAAAAAAAAGTCACTTTAAAATTTATCTGTAGTGCGCATACATGTTCATGTATGTGTACGTGCATGTGTTTGTGTTTTTGGCGCAGAGCAAAATGAAACGCTCATTTGTGTGTTAGTTTCTGGCGTGTCGGCTTTGTTTGTGAATCGTTTTAGAATACAGACGCAGATGTGGAAGACTCGTTGCTGACAAAAGCTCTACAGAATTCCGAGTTTTCCAGGTTTGTGCACAAACATGGATGCGCCCAGCAGGCATCATTTTGGACTGGTACACGAGACAGCGCTCTCGTACCGCACCTCTCTGATATCTACAGATTGTTGTTAACCCTAACCCCCTAGGTCCTTTTGCTAGGGACCTTCCTCAATCCTCCAAAATCCTCCAATTTGGGGGGGGTGAAAAAATTAGATTCTCCCTCAATCCTCCAAAATTTCTCGAAAATGAGGTGTGCCTGCAGCCTCAGTCCTTCCAAATCCTTCCTCAATTCCTGTCATGTTGAGGCAGTGCGAATGGCATTCTTGAGCAGTGCGGTTGATTCAAAAGAAATACCGGGCTGAATTTGTGCATGATTAACTAAGCAATAACAACACAAGGTCTCACCCATGACCTTCATGGGTGGCACTTTAGCCGTTCACCCTCAGTCAGGATCCACAATCCTCCAAAACCGCCTGAAGAATTTTGGAGGATTGAGGAGGGTTAGGTTGATACCAGTACGTGTACGGTGGTCCTTAGAAAAAAGGTTGTCTACTCATCACGTCAAGCACTATCATCTACATGCAGTATGTGCATTGTTACAAGATTCGTTCGTTCGCCCATTCTCAAAAGTGTACACGATACAGAAACTACGTGTGCTTGGATCTGTAGTACTTTGGCGAGCAGAGAGTCTTAACCTGTTCAAATGATTTGTTCTGAGTACTGAAACTGGCGCTGTTAAGTCATTTATTTTTGTTTTGGTTGGAATGATCAAGCCCATCCATTCATGTCGTGCAACATGTGAGGGCCGGCGCATTTGCATGGAAACCGAAATAAGCCTGATCAGAACTCTGTGTATATGTACATGGCCGTGTACATGTACATGCACCTGTCTTGCTGTACGCTGCATTAATTTAATCCTAATCACCTCAATCCTTCAAAATCCTTGGGGCGAATTTGGAGGACTGAGACACTATGGCCCAATTGCATCGCTGATTGGGAGGGACGCTTTGTCTCAAGGTTGTGGGTTAGACCTTGCGTTGTTTATGTTAGCTATGCATAAATTCATGCCCACAGTATTCATGTACATGTTTGTGAAACCCTCCGTACTGTTCCATGCACTGCCTCAACATGAAGACAGGAATTGCCGGAGGATTTTGAAGGATTGAGTCAGTGGGCACCCCCTACAGAACATATCAAGAAACAAGAAATATCGGAGGATTGTGGAAGACTGAGGCTGTATCCTTGCCAAAAGGGCCTAGGCAGTTTAACCCTAAGGATCCTATTGATAAACAGAGTCCAACTGTTTACATGCATGTGCATGTACATATCGTATATACTTCACATACATGTACATATGCACAGCTTCTACGGTGTATGGTGTTGAGTTCACAGGGACGTAGAAGATTGCTAGTAATGTAAATCATCCCTGAGTGTCGGGGTGGAAAAATCAATGTAATAACCTGGTTTTTTTTTTCAAGACAAATTCTGTTTAACTTTCTACTGGTTACACCTTCCAATTTAACCCTACTTTCAAGGATTCCATTTTTAAAATAACGTAAACCTGTAAGTCCGAAGTAAATTACACCTAAAATGTAGACTGTTAGAGAAGCGTTCACATGCTTCATGCATCCGTAATCATGGTAATGGACTAAACGTGTACATCATGTACAAGTCCATGTATGGTACACGCACATGTAAAATACACAGTACATGGGATGTACTGTACGTGTATGCGGTGGGGTGACTAACTTTAGTCAGACCTGGGCAGGATGTTTTTCATTTACGTCATTATTTCTAAGATTGAGAGTGTCTCACATTACATGTGTAAGGGCTGGGATTACCACATAATCACCTTCACTAAATAACACCTGAATTTGGCAAGCCAAGTTGCCTACATGTACATGGGCATGTGTAGGATTCGACTGCTAAATTTGCGGTACGCGAGTCATTTCCGTCAGTGACAAAATTGTCTTGTGTCCATGAATTTGAAGTCAGCTCTTGTTCCATATTCCTTCTTGTGCTCGTTCGTAGTTGGAGTTCACCGAGTATTTGGGCAAATAAGCTTTTCTGTTTTGCTGTTGGACGAGTCGTCATCCTTCAGACATGCCTCATGTCATGCGTGGATTTCTGCCCCCAAGCTCATTGCACTGTCAGATTTCTGCTCATCAAAACTGCCAGTGTTTTGTAGCCAAAGGTCATGAAGACCCGCATCGGCACATCGACGTGTCGTGCCAGTCAAGCGCTGGTTTCGTTTCGCTGGCTTTTGGTACAGGAAAAGGAAATGCCTCCCTAAACTTAATTTAGAAATGAGGAAGAGAGAAGGAATTATGTACACAGTACAATGTCACGATGAAGGCGATGTGTTGTGTACTCATCAGTGGAGCATGTCGTCATCGCTGCCGAGAGGAATAGCCGTGAGATGTCTGTACTAGAAAGGATTTATTCAAAGGGACCCCGGTAGACATTGTAGAGTGGACTATGCCTTGTGTGCACTTATTTTTGTCTGAAGCAACACAGCTGCACGAAGCCTGAAGGTTTTTGCTTAGTCCGACAGTCCTCAATTGTCCAATTCTTGAAGGAAGTACCGTTAACAACCAGTTTGTTAAACTTGGACATGTTGGAGCTCGGTAGTACTGCTCTGTAGGACATGTACTTGGATAAAATTCATTTTTTTAAAGTGTGATCTTTCTCGACACAGTCTGGAGGTCAGCGTTGTGACACTCTCATTCGGCCTGGTGCATTTCTACATGGGTGGCCACGTTCATAAATTTGCCCAATCACAAACTTGCATGTAGAGTGCTCAGGGGCTATCTCGGCAATTTCGCAGGGAGTCTGCTGTAGTGCCGTGATCGTTGTTGAACCCAGCGATGACTTGGTCAGTCGTCCCTCAGAAGGCTGCAAATGGTCCAGTCAACTTAGAACAGGAAATCTGTTCAGTAAAATGGGATGAAAAACCGGCCACTGGCCATCTGCTCTAACCGACAATTTGCTGCTGTTTATTATTTGTGTCAGTACAGCTGCTGGTACCTTGCAGCTTCATGTACATATGTACGTTATGTGCTCGGGTACCAGTGATAATACCGGATGCAGAGTTTGGCTTTGTCATGTACATGTGCAGTATGTAAGGCTGCGTCCCAAACGGTTGTCTGGAGCTACATGTAGGTCTAGGCCTTCACTTCATTGGAGATATGCAGAGTCGTGCAAACAATAAACGTAGCCGTAGCCCTGGAAGCCCATTTTGGACACAGCCATTCTGTTTTTCCCAAGCCGGAGCAGCCTATTGGCTGCAGAGTGTCAAGTGATCTGACTTGCCATTTGGGGATTTGCGGCAAACCCTCGATAACTTCATGAGATTGGTACCCGTAGCCGCAGCATGTGTTTATTTAGAAACCAACTTTGTGACATCAGATTTCTTCTTTGTTTTCCTTTTTAGGTGTTTGTTGTTGCCTAGGAAACGGCGCCGTAATCCGGCTGTAGGAGAGGGCGTTTTTTAAAGAAACCTTTTTTTTTTAATCGGTCAAGCGAGGGCGCTCCCGCGACAGAACCTTCCAAGATGGGGAAGATGCTATCGAAGATTTTCGGCACGAAAGAGATGCGTATTCTCATGTTGGGGCTGGACGCATCTGGAAAGACGAGTATCCTTGAGATGTATTTGATATGCTTGCAAATAAACCTTTTGCCAGTTAAATTTGAATAAAATCTGGTACACTGAGTTTTTTAAATTCATGCGAACATAACAATTGGCATTCTCCATACTAAAAACCACTGTTGCTATACCTTGTGATTCGGGGCAAGCTTTTGCTTAGTTGCATAAGAGACGCCTTGCAACAATACACTGTTCTCAATGGAAAAGAACGGCTCAAAGGAACCAGTCCATTCTAGAGATGGTGGTCGCTAAGCAAAAGCTTGCCCCGAATCATGAGGTATAGCAACAGTGTATTTAGTCTGGGGAATTCAAGTTATGTTTGCGTGCAATCAGATAACTCAGTGTTCCAGATTTTAGTCAAATTTAACTCGCAAATGGCTTATTGGAGCGATTCACATAAATGACATCAAGCCACATTGGAGGGGCGGGGTCAGCAGAAGCTCTCAAGACATTGTGTGGGGGAAAAAAAGAGGGGCTTTGGGGGCAGATTTTGGGGGTTTGGGTGTAATCAGGGGGCCCGTTTGTTTCACATGGATCTGAATCGTGATCAGTGATCCCAAAGCTAGTTCGTGCTATCCATTAGGCGGGTTCTGGAGTCAGTGAACCAATGTCAGATCACTGATTGCGATCTGGATCCGCGTGAAACGAACAGGCCCATAGTACAGCATTCCGCCGTGCGGATGGTTGTTTTCCTTACATTACTGTTCGTTCTTCAGCCATTTTGTACAAATTAAAACTGGGTCAGTCAGTCACCACGATACCAACGGTTGGCTTCAACGTAGAGACGGTGTCATTTAAGAAGACAAAGTTCAACGTTTGGGTGAGTGAATGTAGAACTTGATTTGACTGGAAAGTTCATTGCGTTTCTTTTGACGTATTGTGGCATGAAGGTACATATGTTCTGTGTCTTCCGAAACATGGATCAAAGTTTGGCTGTCTCACCTTCTCGGGTTTTGTTTCTGACTTTGAAACGACTTGTAATCCTTTCAAACTGGAATTCCAAACGCAAATGTTTCATTTTTTTTTGGCAGAGCAGTAGTTGACGTTATGATGTTGACAGTGTTGGCCCTGTTTAAACATGTAATTCTACTCGCAAAATTTACAAAGAAACTATCTTAATGAGCCAGTTCGGTATTTCCGACAGGGCATGCTCAGTGCGAGGCTATTCGGGAAGAGCTACGCAGGCGCACAGAATGTTTTCCTATCAGTGAAGCCATACGCTAACCCATGCATGCGCTCTGTTCCCAAAAGACCTTGGCTTTTTGAAATACTAAATTGGTATTGGAGATTATGTAATGGCCCTAGCCACAACCCAAGTGTCGGTATGCATATAAGTTATTGACATCATAATGTGTTATTTCTTACATGTTGTATGTCACTTAAAAACTGCTTTCTGACCGACACTTTGCCGTAGTGCCAAGAATTTGAACATTCGATCAAATTGCCAGTGGCGTAGTCAAATGATTGGTCATTCGATCCTATCCAACCTTACCTCCATTGGTTTTTTTTTTCCTCCCTGCACCCCATGACAGGACGTAGGTGGCCAAGACAAGATCCGACCTCTCTGGCGGCATTACTACACGGGAACGCAGGGTCTTATTTTCGTAGTGGACTGCGCCGACAGGGACAGGATAGACGAGGCGAGACAAGAGCTTCACCGGATAATCAACGACAGGGAAATGAAGGACGCGGTCATCTTAATATTTGCTAACAAGCAAGATTTACCCGACGGTAAGACGACCACCAACTGCATGTGTATGGGTCATCCCATGAGGTTGGGGCACAATTTGTGACGGTGTCCTGGTTACCTGGGTAACTTTTTTACCACCTGTCATGACCTGTAGACTAGGTCATATACTCAGTAAAATACCACACACCTCTGTATCCACCCTTGCAAGATGCATAATTTGGAATCCACATGCAGGGAAATAGCTGTTCATTTTTACAGAACCCATGTAACAATGGACGAAAATTATGTCCCAACCTTAACTTAAATAGAGCAGTGTCGTGCCAATGCCATTTGGAATGACGATAGCGCACTATACCCTGTTGAGCTTAAGAAGGCCTTGCCGTGTTGAATTCGATGTGCCAAGCAGAATCCCACCAAGCTGTTGCTGTGCTATTGCTGAGCCTAACTTACAAAAAAAATTAAATCCTTTGAGTTTAGCGAGGCAGTAGCACGGCATATAGCCTAGGCCTCAGTGTTTGCAATGCTAAGAACAAGAAAAACATCGGCCGATTGAGCCACAGTGGCTTAGGACAGACTTTCCCGTTTGGTACTTCGTAGCGGTTATGATCGTCAACCAGGCTCTCGCGAAACTAACATTACGAGGCATCCAGTAAACAGATTTTTTGTTTTCTGCATCTCTCTTGCAGCGATGAGGCCACACGAGATCCAGGAGAAACTCGGTCTAACGAGGATCCGCGACCGCAACTGGTTCGTCCAGCCGTCCTGCGCGACGTCGGGCGACGGCCTCTTTGAGGGACTCACATGGTTGTCGTCAAACGCCAAAAATTAACGGATCCTATCCCTTCCTGTTTTCTACTTTATGTATGTATGTATGTACCTACCTACCAGTCTTATGGGTCCACCTTTTGTTTCCTTTTTCCTTTTGGTTTCACATGCATTTTTGGTGACTTCAAACTACCAGGATGTGGCTTTTCTGGGGGAGGGCGGGGCATTAGGGCGTGGTTTGGGGCGTGGCACCCGTTGCTTTGGAAGCCATTACAGGACCCTCCCCACTGCAGGTGTAAATTTAGATGTAGACAGGTGGAATTCTAGTTCATGCGTTTCCTCTTTGTCGAGCGGGGCTGCGAATATTCGCCAGAAAGTTTTGCATGCGCTTTGAAACGGAAGGTCATCGAACGCACGCTCCTGTTGGCTGTTGAGCAGTGACTGCCGACATCTCACATGTAAGACTAAGGCCAGTATCGGTTTGTGTTGCTCAAGGACACTTTTCTTTAGAAGGAATGCAACTGTGCCCGACTGAAGGCAGCTAAGCCGACGTTTAAAAGTGGGATGTTTATGTTTCTGTAAAGGGCGGATGGAAACTGCTGCAAGGGAAGTACGTTCAGCGTGTACACCGTTCACAACATACTATCCACCAGATTGTTTGCACTTGTTAACCCTAACCCTGCCGGACAGCAGACACTGCAAAGTCTTGCTCAGCGAGCTGGTCCTGTTGAACAATGCCACTGTTGGATCTTGTGGTGACTGGTAACCACAGACTCCCAGGCCGTTTGGTCTTGGGGAGAGTTGACCTGTTGAATCTTGTTACACTGGGCAGGCAAGCTACTATGACAAAGGACCCAGACTGATTTGTCTGGCAGGGTTTTGAGCCAAAACACCCCGGAGGGATAGGTTAACTTTCTTGTGCCAGAAACAGAATGTGGTGTGAACATTCAAAAAGCAAATTCTTGTTAGATGATAGCAGCTATAATGTCCCCAAAAGATATGTATACCTCTGTACGTCAGGACATCATTGCAAAGTGACCACATCTATGCTGTGGAAGAGATAGCTCGAAACCTGTCGAAAGAGTCTTGACCGGTCCTTTAACCCCTTTGCTACGGAGGACTGCTACTACCGCACCGTTGTGCGAGGATTAGTGCACACCACACATACAGTCTATTCACCATGCAGCTGCTGGTTCAATGGGGCCTGCTGCTGGACAAAGCCCTCCATTCACGGCATGCCGCAGCCCAGCAGTCGGGGTCAAAATAATTCGGCCATGAAGGGGTTAAAGACCACACACAACAGGAAAAAAATAACAAATGCTGAAGGCTGTGTGGTTTTCCTGAAAATGAATTCGACTCGGCGGAAAGCCAAGCGCACATTTTAATTGAATGATTTTCTAATTTGCTGGGTTGGTGGTAAGGATTATATTGTAAATAGTAATTTTTTTTCTTACTGGAAATAATTTGTTGTATTGTTATTGGTTTATTTATCTTTGTTTTATTTTCTGTTCTTTTTTTTCTGTGGTTTATTGAATTTTTTGGGGGGTCATTTTTACGGTGTGACAAGAAAAGTATAATGGAATTAAAGGAAGATGTATTTGGAGGTTTTTCTCGTGGAGATGGGTGGACGTGAGAAAAAATTGGCCGTAGGTTGACTTGCTCAAGGAAGTGGCCCGATTGTATCGCTTTATATTTAATGCACAGCATTAGGAAACTAGATTAAAGAGGACGAAAAAATGCTGCACACTTTTTCTTTGCAGGGTTTTTGCACTGGAAGTCAGCTCGATGTGCTTTGCGGGCTGAGCAGGCAGGGCATTAGGGGGGGGCGTCAATTTCATGAACCACTTGCCAAGGGTATTATTCCACTTGGACCTTGTCCCCCGGGCGCATTACTGTTAACGACCTAAATGACCGACTTTGCAAAACAAAACTCTTGAGTTTCCCGTAGAGTTGTGCTGAAACATTGATGCACCGAGCAGGCATCACTTGGCAGAGCGCTCTAGTGATTTGTAGCTCTATGATGGTTGCCCACCTAAAACAAACGTAAATCATTACTCTTGTAGTCACACACATACCAAAACTTTGTCTCCCTTTGGAGACAAGGTTGTATTTCATGCACTAAAACACACAGATCATTGCACGCCGAACTTCAATCTTGAAATGTTTTCAGCAAGCACTGTGCAGGCCGTCATTGCATCAATGGGACCGTTTCAGTTGGTCAGACATGTCAGGACCGAGTCGTAGAGATAAAATTTGTCCGTGTAAAGATGTTGCTTCCCCCCTGCCGAGACATCTGTGGTTTCACAGGAAGGAGTCAGGATTCTTGCCCGCAGATGGTGCCGGTTTTCTGGTCAACATATTTCTGTAATAAGAGTTTGTCATTTACTGCAGAAAAAGCTAGAGCCTTGAAGTTGGGACCTTGTTGCTTTTCAGCCCAAATTCTCGCTGAACGGGAAACAACTTTGCGTACTTCGCATGTCTCTCTCTGCCACACAGTCTCCCGATGTTGAGCTTTTTTTCAGCTTTTCTCTGCACCTTTCTCTAATCTGAATTTGTGATCTCGTGTACCTGATGTACAAACCGTGTGTGCACCTGGCACCTCCCAAGTGAGATGCTGGAAAAACAGCAAGTCCAGAATGTTAGCTTGTTCTCAACGGTTCAAAGATAAACATGATAGTTTTCTGGAAATTCCAAATCACTTTTTTTTCCGCAGATCCACATGGTTGACACACCACAAACGGGGTGGCTGGCGTGTCTCTCACTGAAGTTCTATTATAAGTCTTCCTTTCCGGCCGAATTCGTTGGATCCAATTCACCAAAGTCTCTAAATGAAATAGCCCTCACATGTACATGTTCCCAAACCATGCAGCAATTTCAAACCGCCCCAAAACAAATCAAAAATATGACTAATCTTTCTTCCATTGCCATTTGAGGCGACTTGGTGTCAAGATATTTGTTTGTTTCCTTGGTGGCATTTTAATTTCTGTGTTTATCATTTCACGTGTATTGTTATCCTTTATGTAAATGTCAATGTATAAAAATACAAAGTAGTTTTAATATTCATTAGGCTCCTGTTTTTTGTATACTAAAATGCTCGTCGACCATTAGCATGGGCACAGACAAATGGTGGAATATGCTGAGAAGTTGTGAAAATTGCATCCTTTTAATGAAATTCCGTAAAAGAGTGTCAGATGATTAAAAACATTTGTAATGAATGTGACACAGATTTTCTGCACCCGTGCTGTGTTCTGTACCGCACGACACTTTGTGTCTTGTCTGCACGTCAGTCGTTTTTATTTGAGATTGTACATTTACGACTTTTGGTAGGAGTTGAATTTTCAATTCATACCCCCATCAGATTAGGTGACTGGGAAATTATCAAAATTCCCACAAAAATCGTAATTCAGTGCTGTAGCTTAATTCCAGCAGCAAAGCACTCGACACTCGCACGGTTTACGCAACACTTTCTCCTTTCATTTGACTCAAGTGTTGTGAAGTTAGTCTTGACTCAAGTCACCTTGTAAAGCTAGTCTCGATTCAAGTCACCAACTCCATTCTTGGTCTAGACTCCCAGCTTCTGTGCTTGATGTGTGATGTGTGATCCATAAACATACATTACGTACAGTATTAGATATTGCACAGTTCTGCCTAATCAACCGCTCTCCATTTTATTTGGATGGGCTGTGTACAAAATGTATTTCACTTTCTGCACCAGGCAGGGACCTCACCAACGTGTTTGGCCTACTCCAATTAAGAGAGAGTTTGAGAGACGACCCTGGTTAACCGTAGTTCAACCAACACACTCATAGAACGGTGGAGGGTAGGACTAGTCTAGCCAGCCATTTTGAAGCAGGGTCTTTTGTTTGGATGGTTAGGGTTGGATAGTCCTTGGTCGGTATTGAATTGTAGAGTGGGAACCCGTGATGTGAACATACTGTATTGTGTGGAATGGTGGAAACCAGGCGAGGAACCATAAGACGCAACCATTGGCAAACACGTATGTACAGCTTTGGTCCAGTGGTGATGTTATTGTTTAGTCTCACAAGTCCCTGCAAGTCCATCACAGTCATCCAGTCTTTGGCAAAGTCACAGGCTAGTCAAATAAACTGCGACAATAGCATTCCTTTGTCATCATGAGCCCTGGTACTTACGGCCAGTGTTGTGAATGGATATTTGTGAGTGGACTTGTGAAAAGACTCGAGATGGACTCTTGAGCATAACACTCACCAGTCAAACAATAGAGCTGCTTAACATGAAATAGTTGGATTGAGCTAACTTTTACAATCGCAGAGGCGATAAGAAAATTAGCATTCACGGGAAGAAAATTATTCGCCAATTGTGGGCGTGAAGGATCTACTGGAACAGTCTTTGCAAGGGATTGTGGGTACTGTGCAGGCATGGACCATCTGTTGACATAACTGAGCATGGTTAAACTATAGTTTGCTCTCAAACCTGCCCTGACACGGTTTTGGTTTTAAGACACACCCAGCCGATACATGGACAAGCAGCTCTCCAGAAAGTCCAATTTCTTTTGGCACTTCGATGGATTCAAGTCTGTGCAGCTAAGTCACTCGGGCCTGGTTTATACGTATTTGCCATCTACACATACAGCCGCAGAGAGAATATGCTGTCAGTTTTTTGAACGGTGTCGGGTTTATGTTGGAGGAAGCTCCCTCAGAAAAATGCCTCGGGAATATGCTTTAAAAAATCTGCTGCTTCCTCAACATAACTGCACCACCCAAAAACAGCCCGGGAACTTGGACAACATCTGTAGACCACTAAGTGTTAAATTTCACACTTTACCATACAGCACTTTAATTGTTGTCACTGAGTTGACACAAGATCTAGATATTTATTCGAAGATATTGAAAGTTTTCCATCACCTATCGGTCTTTTCAGTGGCTTTTTCAGCAGAACCCAAAGGGATTATTTGTGATGCGACATTGATTTTATCGCCTTATCAAAGGGAAAGGCTTGTGTGATGGAATTTACCAAACTTACGTTAATGCAAGCTGTTAGAAACCCGGATGGGTAGAATTCCTCATTTTTGTGACAACAAATCTTTATTTAAATTACACTTTTCAATGTGCCTGTACCAGCAGTGTGTAAAAGCTCATTAGTCAAGAGATGGATATTCGGAACTTTCAATGTACCATAACACTCCGAGAAGAAACAAGCTAAGATTTTAACAGTAAAAATGCCAACTTGATTCTCACTGGCCACACCCTTTGCCAGTTTAGGTCTAGTAACCTGCATTCTTTGGTAGTGCATGCCTCCATGCTGGCAAAAGCAGTTAACAGGACGACTTGCTGAAACATTGGCTGTCAAATTTCCTCCAGTTGCAATTTGATACATTTCTCAAAGCCAGTTTGAGACGGCGTGTTGTTCAGCGTTCCTGCAAAATTTAAAGCTGGGTGTGTGTGCATATCATGCGTTCAAAACTGGTTCATTGTTGGGGCTTAAATTTCCTAAGGTTTTTAAGAACATACATGTACAACTTGGCAAAGGTAGAAGGTGCGAATCTGGGGAGGCGGGGCTTGGAAGCCCTTGCTCTTCCCCCCTGTCTTGGACAAAAAAGGGTAAAAATCGGGAAAATACGAAAAATAACTCAAGCAAGCGCTCCAATACCATTGTGAATAATTGATGTCATATATGACTATGAAACATTAACAAAATCTGCTTGGATTTGCCCCAGGGTAGCCACCAGGGAAAGATTTCATGCTTGGTTCTCAGAAGTTTTTGCAATGTCTGTCTGTTAAAAGCCAATCCGCACTACTGAAACCCTTTTGACCAATTGTACTTGTTCCACTGATGTTGAAGCACGGATTCACTTTTTACCTGGGCGTTAACTGTGCATTGAAAGAAATCCAGTTATGATAATGTCTCATGCAGGGCAGGGACTTTGTTCTTGATCTCCTCTGAAATCAACTTGTCTACGGGGGACATTTCAATGGGCGTGGAGGCACAGACCAGGGGCATCAAGCCATTGGCTCCAGTACCTCCGTGAAGTTCTGCCCTGCATGCATGCTTTGATGTATTTATGAAGTAAAGTCACAGATTGACGTCAGTGACACCATTTATGCATTTGACACTTTCTATCTTGATGTTATTTTCATCATTTTTAAAAAAAGTTTTGGTTATACCCTGTATTGGAGTGTAAATTGTAATATGATTCATCATCGATATCAGAACAACATGGAATAAGCTGGATTAAACTGTAAAATAAAAGAATGATTGCTTAAACCTTCGTTTGTACTTGGGTTTTTTGTGTGCAATGGTCCAACGTATGGTGTTCTCGGCCCATGTTCAATATGGGCTTCCAGAGCTATGGCTAGGTCTATCGTCTGCACACCTCTGCTTGGTTTTCAATGGAGCAAAGGCCAAGACCTGGCTCTCGACAACAGATTCTGATGCAGCCTTAGTTTTGGGTTTCTTGGCACCAAAGTCAGTCAGTCGGACTGATTTGGGCACATTTGCTGCGGAGTCTTGTGGCTTGTAATCCCCCAATGCAGGGTCAGGGTTCAACTCCAGTAGCAGGTTACATAATGTGACTTTAGGCAAGCCACTTAACTCCCACTGTGTACATGTTAACAATTACATGTAGGTAATTGCACCTGAAACACCAGCATCGAGCCATACACACGGAGCTCATGTTAGGAATGGTTATGGGCTTGATGAACAGGGGTAATGAT